AGTATTTATTTCTCGACATCATTTAAAATAGGCAGAATAGCCTAAATGGCACCTGTACTTCACCCATCTTGTCATGCCGGTCCCCAAAGTTAGACATTTGCCAACTGAACACTTATACTCATTCAAAACGTGAATAATAAACGCTTATCCAACGTAGCTGCCAGTGCGTGTATGACAATCGCATACACGTAGGACGCCACGTCAATAATTAGAAGACCACGTAGGCTCCAAGTCACACACCATGGCCAAATAGGATTAAAAATCGGCCCAAGATTATTTAACCCCCAAACTCACATTTGCCCCTTATTTTATAATTAACCGCGTAGTTAGGGCTTAGATAGTATCGAACAACAGTGAGTGTCTCCTCTCTTCTCTTCTGTGATTTCTCTGATGAGGTTATTCTTCACTTTCCGACTTTAGTTCTTTCTCGATTACCAAACTGGCTGATAAAGACTCCCCAAACTTGCTGAAAATTACTCCCACTAAGAGACAACATTCTCAAGCTTGTCAAATTACCCAAAAACTGTGGAATCAAACCAGAAAACCTATTCCCACCAAGGTCAAGTATCCCCAATGAAGCAAGATTCATTATACTCTCAGGAACTTCACCAGTTAAGGTACTGTTAGCCAATCTAAACTCAATGATCCTAATAGCATGAGGAGCATTGACAGATGACCCATTACAGAAAAATGATGCAGGGACCACCCCAGATAGTTGATTTCGCGACAGCGAAATTACTTGTAAACTAGAAAGTGAACCAATTGTAGCGGGGATTAATCCCTGCAGATTATTATCACCAATGCTTAAGTGTATTAATGAGGATATGTGGGCTTGAAATTGATTCGGGATGTTGTTAGAGATTACCTAGATCTGGAAACTTTGCACATTATAGCTGCGACAATTTTCTAATGGAGGTTTGAATTGGAATGGCGGCAGTAGCTTATTTGTTGGAGGAGAAGCAGAAAAAATCGACTTTTAAAACAAAAGGAGATGGCAAAAATTGATGGGCAACGAAGAATCACAGGAAAATAAAATTCTATTTTTTCACTGTTGAAGCTAACAAACAAAGAAGAAGGCATCGGATTTGCTAAATTTAGCTTCTATATTGTTCAACAATGGAGAATAAGGTAGAAAGAAGAAGATGGTTGTTAAATAGGCTAATTTATTACCTTTAGGGCTTTTTTAAATATCTTCACGCCCCTTAGAAGCGTGTGAATCACGCACTGAAGCCACATATGACACATAGGATAAGCCACGTTGGATAAGCGTTTATTATTCACGTTTTGAATGAGTATAAGTGTTCAGTTGACAAATGTCTAACTTTGGGGACCGGCATGACAAAGTGGGCGAAGTACAGATTCTGCCTTTAAAATATTCTGCTATAATTTCCGGAAAAGTAATGCTCATAATTAACAATTAATCTCTTAGATTACTAAGGGTGTTTCATTCACATGAACAGTGATGATCAACATGCTTGTATATTGAATAGTGTACAAGCTATTAATCCTCTCTTCCTTATTTTTAACCTTTATTTCGTAACTTGAAGAGAACAATTAACGCGGAAAATGCCCCTTCAGCTAAACTCTATTCTCAACTTCACACATTCCATTCCCTCAAAGTTATTCCAATACGGGGAGTAATTTCCCTTTTCTTTCTATGCAAAAAGATCTTTTATGAAGTTTTCTTCTTCCTATATATCCTCATCGATCCCCATCCATATGGATCTTTGTTTATGTATGTGAAAGGTTATCATGAGCTCAACACTTCAAAACAATGATTAATGGGGTAAACCTTTATAATGCTTCGAGCATTAAATTATGGAGTACTTGACTTGAGACATATATATTATATTTCTCCCAAAAATATTCTCTTATATGTGCAATATAATTTAAAGTTAACGCATTGACGTGAATGTGAATTAACGAGTGTAAAAGTTGGATTATCAAAAATGTTGACTCTACTAGTATGTGAAAAAAATTTGAGCACTAGATCTAAAATCTTAAAAAAGAATGAATGAGATGACTCACATTCTTTATAAACATACTGAAGTAGTATTATACAACGTATCATTCTAACTAGGCAACTTATGATTGTCATTTGTAATGAGGGGACTTATTTTCTTCATTTATTTGTAGCCACAGCCACATAAATGGAGGTAAGTTAATTAATGGAACAAATTAATCCCTATTTTTGTGGCTATATATTTCTGGAATAGATTTTCAATTCGTCCAACTTACAAGGGATAATTGCATAAAAGTACAGTCAGCGTAGGTGCTTTTCATCCGCATAGCCGTCATTTTAAGTTTTCATCCGTATAGCCCATGAAAATCTCACAATATGACATCATGTCTGGATATAACTTTACAGATCTATATGTAATTTTTTATTCTTTGCACACAACCAACTTAAATCGATCATATACATTCCTATTGCAATTACAACAATGCAAACCAACTATAATGCAACTTGAGAAAAATCTAAATTTTCTTATGTCCCAAGTTCTAAATAGCATAAACAAAAGAAATAAAAAATAAAATTGAAAAAAATTGCTACAAATTCGCAAGTTGGCAGAGAAATTAACAAAAAATTGACTTTATACATCGATTGTTCGAGAAAAAGTAAGAAAAAAAATTTAATTTCAGTTTTAAGTCCACATATGTTGTACAGGTATAAAAATGTATAACTTAGTATAAACTCGTATATGGAATGTATAATAATGTACTCTAGTATTTCACCAACACAAAAAAGCAAAATTAGCTTTAACTGCACATGTGAAAGGGGAACTTACTTCAAAGAGAAAGACCACCGCACCAAAGTCGAACAGAAATCGCAAATAGAAAAAATAATGTTGTATAACACTATTTACACACCTAATATACAACATTATACAATATTATACACTTATTATATTTTTGTATAATGCTGTATAATATTGTATAATGATGTATACGAAAACTGAATTTCACCTTCAATTTCCTTTTTCAACTGGTATGATTCTCAAAACCAATGTTAATTATGCTCAATCAACCCAATACTCTAGATTCAAGTTACTAAAAGTTTTTTCAATATTTTTAGCTTCACCCAAATAATTTCACCGATATTAATCAACACCCATTTGATTTTTCTACCAAAATGCATCTTCCTCAGGTCTATTAAAAAAACTCATAAATTACAATAGGCTTAAAATCTCAGTCTAGAACTTCAATCTTGAAGAAATTTCAACAAAAATCAAGAACCCAGTTCCGCTTTTTCAGTCCAGAATTTCAATCTTGAAGAAATTTCAACAAAAATCAAGAACCCAGTTCTTTCCCCAATTCTACCTCACCAAATTCGTTCTCAAAGAGTTGCAAAGTAGTCCAACTGAACCAAATCTCTAGGTTGAAGCTTCTTGGACTATAATCAATTAATTTCAATAGCACCCACTCGAATTTGAGCAAGATTCTTTCATAAATTTTTAGATCTGAAAAGCTTCTAACTCACTCAACCTAATTTTTGGTTTGGATATCAAAATTTTGACTTCACAACAAACTTAAGAGAGGTGGCCACTGGAGTGGAGAGAAGAAGAGTAGAAAATGTAGAAGAGATGAGTGAAGATTGTTTAGGTTAAACATTGAAACTTTTATTTCAAGATATATACAATATGGGCCTCCGCATGTAAAATCCCAAAATATGGGTTATTTATGGTTATAGGACTAGGTCAGGTGATATACAGTGTAATTGTTTCTCCACTAAACTCTATTTTTTTTTTATCTCCATAATATCATTTTCAGTTTGAGCATTCAACACCAACAAAATGCTATTTTGAGTTATACTTCCTTAAACATGTACAAAAGGCATCCAAAGGGCTCTATGAAGGTTTTGAACTACTCACTAATTACTCTTAAGATTTGGGCTTAATGCACACATTCTTTGTTGAGATCTTTACACAAATAGCCAGTCATATTATATTTACTTTTCTAGCCATATGCACAGTTTATACATTGAATATACATAATTATACAAGTATTATACATAAATTATGTGTATATTATACCTTCACCGGCTATTTTTAGTTTAAGCGGTTGGGTGAGCAGCTATTTGAGTTAATTCTTCTTCTTTTTTACAAGGTCGTCAGACCAATCTTTTAGCAAGAAGGTAGGTGCATAAACGACCATTCTTAGGGATGCTATTTAGAGATTAGTCACTTATTTTGTCCTAAAAATTTGAACTTTGGGACAATTCAGGACATTTTTGTTCCGTAAAATTGAATTGAAAAATTGATGTCATTTCTACAATATACTCATAATTGTAAAGCTAAATTAAAATGGGAATATTACGTGACACGTCAAACATTTATGTTGTATTTATTATTCGTAGCTCTACTTTTGAAAATTTACTATTCGTAGCTATATTTGAATTTTATAACAGATTCATCAAACAAGAGATAAATGTTATGAACTGAAATAAGAAAGCAACAAGCTCTTGTAGCTTAGTTGGTTAGAGGGCCTGCTTAGTTAGCGGAGGTCTTGAGTTATACTTTCAACTAGAGCATTTTATTTTTCTGTATTTCTGTATTTTGCTTTAGTTATATTCATTGCGTGAACGAATACAGTCGATACAAGATGTATCCTTTGTATACACCCTTGTATTTTCCCTTGGTGAACGAATACAGTTGATACAGGTTGTATTTGTTATGCATTTGGATACAAGTAATACGGTAGCTATACAAGTTAGTAACAAATTGAACAGTAGCTATGAATAGTAATTAGGCAAACTATAGTTATTAGGCTGTAATATTTATGAAAAATCCTCAATGAAAATCCATGTATATTTCATGTTCGAGAGGGCGTTGAATATTATAATTTCTTATAATTGGATATAAAAAAGGCATTAAAAGAGGCTCTGTTGGTGCCTTATCTTTTAATTGATGAAGCAATGTGTGGTTTTTTCTCCTCCCACTTGTTGCATTTTTAAGGTAGGCTACTAGGCTAAGGTTTTCAATGTGGGAAAAAAGAAACTGGTCTTTGCAATTGATATTTACCAAAGCATTCTTTAGCAATCTGCAATGGTTCTTTAGCCATTCGCAAAAGAGGATTTGATTGAATGATCAGTATTGGACAGACAGATGAGCAATTTCTCAATTCTTAGTCCATTAGCTTTCAAACCCAAATTCCTGCAGCCCGGCCCAATCCTTCTCAACTCGGCTTTCTAGCCCAAAGTCCAACAACCCGGCCCAATGCTTTGCACTCTCTGTGCGAAATTCTGATCTGATCTTCCAAGCGTGGATCCAGAATCAAGCATCCTGAAATTGGGAATTCTACAGAGGTGATTATTTGAGATTACAGAAAAATGGATGCAAAAGCATTGGCAAAGTCGAAGAGAGCTCATTCATTACATCTAAATAAGAAGCATAATCCACATCATGCATCCAAGGGTTCTTCCGCTGCTGGTTCTGGCACTTCTACTACCGGTGATAAGAAGCCTGTTGGCAAGCAAGTGAAGGAAAAACCTAAATCAAAGCTCCCTTCGAATTGGGATCGGTATGAAGAAGAATACGCTTCTGATTCTGAAACTGCACCTCAGGAAGCTGCAAATAAGGCAAGTGATGTGGTCGTGCCGAAAAGTAATGGAGCAGATTATGCGTATTTGCTTTCCGAGGCTCAGGCTCAGGCTCAGTTTCAATATTCTTCAGAGAGTATTCCTTTATATGATGATCGTTTAGATGGTAATGCTTTGTCCCACAACTTTTATGTATGCATACTGCTTTTGGGCATAACTCAGAGCGGTCCTCACGCATGTTTAGATTCAGAAACATAGTTATAAAAGTGATGATTCAATAATGAAATATTATCTTGGCTGTACTTTGTCTAAGTTGTTGATTGTTACTAGTTTACCACCTCAATGTAATGCTTGAAAATGTGAAAGTTTGGCTTCAGTTTTTTTGCAACTTAATCTCATTGCTCAGTTATTGTTGTTACACTATTCAAGTCTTTCTGCGGCTCTGCCAGTCTAGAAATTTCCTTTGGCAAAATTATAGTGCACTGACTCAATATCCTTTAGATTTTTATCAGGGGTTTGGTGCATTACTCTCTGTCAAAGGGCAAAGCAAGTTATCATGGATAGCAGAAGACAATTTTGCAATGGAAGATAAGGCACCTCCTCCGACTAAGGTGATTTTTCTATTTACAATCCATGGGGTGGTCTTTGGTCTTCTTTTCTGCTGTTATTTTCTTGAATTATAAGGACAGCAATTTGGGATGCTGATACCATTTATTACAATTAATCTCTGTTTTCAATGGCACAAACATTTAGGTTAGGCTAGAAACTTTCTATTACAATGGTGTTGTTCTTGATTCTATTGTTTTAATAGAAAAACCATGGGAAGGAACAAATGAACTGTAATCTTTCTTGTAAGCAAGCAATTTATTCCTCAAACAACACTTCATTATATCTACAGTGATAAGAACTTAGCTCGTCATTAATCATGGGATCTACATTATATGGATAAATCAAGTGAAGTATCTAAGTCACGTAGATTTTCCATGTTACACCATAAGCCAAAAATAGAGGAATTTGTATTTGAGCCTATGTACTGGTTCAGCTCGTCCTTCGAAACAATTCTGATTCATCTCCTTCTAGATTAACCCAAAGTATATACAGACAGAAACTGTGTTTCCCCGAGGGCTATTGTTCAGTGGTAAGGAAGCACAATACGTTATGTGGGGATTGAGCGCACGTCACGGGTTTGAACGCTGCCGCTGATAGAAGCCTGGTACTATGTGTAAGTAGGGTAGAGAAGTAGACCCGTGCTCCCCATGTGTTTTAAACTTGTGACTAAGGTCAGTCCAGCTAGCACAGGGTTTTGGTTATTTAAAAGAAAATAATTTATATTCCATACATCTGCTTTATTTTTCCAACCGCCTTTCTTAGCCGCGTAAAACGGTACTCTACACGAACATTGCATAATCAAGTTAAATCCACAAAGCCTAAGGGACAAACGCATAGCTGATTTGCCACCACATATTGCAGGAACACAGATTAATATGTTCCTCATGACTTTTACGTTGATAACATCAGTTACAAATGGAAACATTTTTCTTTGCAAACCTATAAATATACCAAAATTTTGTAAGATGCTTTAAAACTCCTCTAAGTGAATTCAAGTTGATAGAAGTGACTAAAAATATCCATAAAATCAGGTGTATGAAGAGCATCCATGAAATTTTTCTTAATCACTTAACCAGTATTTTTTATAAAATGCATTGTGTCTCCATATGAACTTGGGGTTTTATCACCATCATGTACCTTTGCTAACTCATTCATTTCTTTTTCACTGAATGGTTTTTGTAGCCACACTCTGCCTCCCTCGCGTAGAACTGGTAAATTACCATTTTTAAAAGGTAGCCGCCACTCGGCAATGCTCCTCATGTTGAAACAGTTTGGTACAAAACCATAATATCTCCTCGCTTATACCTATAAGATCAGTGACAATCTTCCTTCACTTTCAGCTTATCTATATGATTGTATTTCTTTGTATATTTTTCATTTTCTAAAAAAGGTTGATGTTTCTGTCTCCTTTTTTTTTGGAGAAAGACTTCTGTCTCCTTATTTCTTGGCAATACATCTGGATTTTCATCTCCAAGATATCTCAGTTACCTCCAGAAACTCCTTCAACTTTCTTTTTGTTTCCAACTCTGACGAACTTCTTTGGTACAGCCTTGTCCATGTCTTGCAACTTGTTCGGTATATGAACCTTCTTCTTGTGGGCTGCCATAAACATTCCTATTCCACAAGCGGAGAATTTGGATGAACTGCTATAATAACCTTAGAAGGAGGATTAAGTAATTAGGGTGCATATGTATGCCCTAAATTCCAAATTTGTAAGGACTGAAATGTCACGTATGTCCTAGTTTGTTAACTAGAAGCAAATTGTTGGGCGGACATCGTAGTACCCACTACGACCTTATGGTAGCGGGTGTGTGCTTAGTGTTAAGTTTTCCATATTGGCTGAAATAGTGGGATATTGTCTCCTTATATGGTTTTGGGGGCAACCTCACCTCATGCGCTAGCTTTTATGATCGAGTTAGGCACAACATCTTTCATAACATGGTATCACTATCAGAGCCAGATTCATCCTCGTTCTTGGTTTACGCAAGGGTGTGCTCCAAATGTCCAGTCATATGCCTGCGGCAGGCATTTTCCACATTGGTTGTAGAATGGGTTGTTGTCCTCATCTAATGAACTAGCTTTCAGGATTGAATTAAGCCTAAGGTTAGTATTAGTATATACTCCCTCAGCTTCTATTTATGTGAATCTATTGTCAGTATTACTATATACTCCCTTAGCTTCTATTTACCAGAAGGAAAAAAGAAAACTTTTGAAAATGTGTCGTAGCATTTATAAAACTTTTGAAACTTGTGTTTTAGATATGTGATAAAACTTGTATCGCTGTAAAAGCTTGTCATAACGGGTAAAATGCGAAATTTAAGTTAACTGTTTCCAAATTTAGATGGGCCATTCATTTTGGAACGGACTATAAAGGAAATAGATTCATATAAACTGGAATGATGGGAGTATACTTTTATATATTGTTCTACTGTATATTTAGAACTAAGGAGGATGGGTCTTGGCGCAATGATGTGTGTCTACATAAGTCAAAAGGTAGTCGGTTCAATTACACCCATTGGCCCCTGTTGCCTTTGTCCATGTGCATTATCTTTGCTATTCTTTGTTGTAAGGTCATCTAAGCCCGAGATTTTTGGCTTTATCATGGTTAAAGAAAAGCCACGCCTGAGATTTCCAGTGAGAAGCATAATCTTTAGATTATTGTTAGTTGTTACAGATCTTTCCTGCTATATCATTATTAAGTTGTGACGATTCTAATGAGTAGTATAATCTTGAGATAATCATTACATAATTTTCCTGCTATGTCATTTTAAATTGTGGCGATCTAATTTTTTTTGGTTTAATTGGTAAGATTTTATTAAAAAACAGTATCAAGCTGATACTGGGGAATTACAAAAAAAGTAAGCTAGGCTTGAATTCATCAAATTCCTAAATATTCTAGCAAGTCTAGCGCATCATGCAAATTAACAATAGTTTTTCCATCCTTCCAGGAATACAAGTAATACATGCAATTGAATTTTACAATCTGAATTTGTTTCTTCGTGCCTTTTAAAACGATCTAATTTAAAAGTCTAAGCTATTAGATAGGGGATACTTATATCTTTTATTTTGATCTTGAACAAGACTCCTTACGTGTAGGCTGATTTTCTTGAGCCAAGAACATGAAAATGTTTTTGTTTATGGGTGGTGATGAGATTTGAACCCAGGCTCTAATACCAAAAGATCTAAGTATCCAACTCAAAAATTAAGACACTCGATGAAGTGCCTAGACGTTTTTGAAACTCTTTGGATGCGTTTTTACTCCAACATATGACATATATAAGTTAACATCCTCCAGCACGTATAGTCTGATTCTGGAATCCAGACATGGACTTTAATGTGGACTCACGAGGCATTAGAATGGGCTTGCAAAATATGGCTTTTCATACCATGTGAACTAATATGAGCACCCAACCCAAATGACATAGAATAACTCTTATACAACAATGTGGGGCAACTATTTAACAAAACAATTTCCTTATTTGAATTTCCATCAATTTAAGATGACTAGTGTCAGACCATACAGACTTCTGGCAAGATTAACATTAAGAATTTTACTTTTATCTTTGCAAGTCACCAAGACTTCTTCCTTAATCCACCTAAATAGGTGGTTGGTCAGTCTCAGGCCCTGCTGATTCATTGGAAGCAAATAGAAACAGAAGCTGTAGTATGAAGAAGAGGTGTATTTGCATAACCTCCTAAATCAAGCTATGATTGAATAAAATCCACTCCCTTACCGTATGGCTTTGTAACATGTACCTTTTGCTACACTAATATTTTCCAACTATGACTCCTCTGTATGCATAAGTTAACTATGCCTTATTAGATTTACTAACAGTTAATGTAGCTGCCTTATAAATTAAGTGCAAAATCTATCATTCTTTCAATGGACTGTCAAATTAGACATGCTTTATGTGTTTTGGCTCAATCAGTTGACAGTAAGATTATCCACTGATGAAGGCAAGAAAGTTGTTTACATGCAAGATGCTTGCTCACTAGCTATTCCTGATGATGTGATGTGTATTGACGTGCACTATTGCCCGTGTTGATAGCCAGATGCTAGACTACCATGTGGTTAAACTCAATGATAACTATGCCACTCTTATATTTGCAGGCATCATTTCTTTCACTTGACCTGCATGCTCTTTCAGAGCAGCTTGAAAGAGCAAGTCTATCAGAGAGGCTTTTCATTGAACCAGATCTTCTTCCTTTGGAACCAGTATGTACTTTTATCTATGATTTCCTTCTATGTTATATCTCCCAAAATTTAATGTTGGTTAATGGTTATATATGCTGGAAACATAGGACCTCTCCATTAATTGAGATGCGGCAATGTCTGTTCATAGAAAAGTCCTGCATTAGTATATATGATGCAGATGAATCATCAAAAGATATATGGTTTCCTCTCCAGCTACTCCAAAAAATTTATTATGTTACTGCTTCAGTGTGCTAAAATAGCATTAAATGATTTCTCATCTTATATAGCATGTATAGTTAGCGACATGTGTTCCATTATTGAGATTTTTTTTTTTGTAAGGCTTGAAATTCTAGTCAATCTCCTCTTTACCCTGCAAGATAACCTTGTTTTCTATGGTTAGTCGTTTTGGGATGTCAGCTATAATACCTTCTCGGTTGGTTAGAATGTGCTGCAGTCACACAATGCCTTTCTAAACTATCATTTTAAGTTGAATGCAGCATTACCTCATTTCTTCTTTTCATTCTGTAGTTTGTGTTGGACACTAAAAATTTGGCTGTTGTCATATTTAATGACTGTGTATAGTTACTGCTTGAGACCGTTCTGATAGGCTGTCCATTGTAAATCCAAAGAAGTAGGGATTTACATCATATATAGAGTATAGTTCAGAATAGTCTGTACCTTTCTCGGCCATTCTAGCTAAGATAATCAAGTACTTTATAGTTTAGAATATTCAATAATTGTGTAAAATTTTATTTTGTGAATTCCTGTAGGATGTATTTGTAGTATCTCGTAATCTAGTCTAATACATGTACTGCATAACTGGCAGTGCACCGAGGCGTCGCAAGCAGCAGCTGAAGAGAAACGTCAAGGGGGTCTATCTTCAAGCAAGAGTTCAACCGCGGAAAAAGTTTCCAATTCATTGACCTGCACTAGTGTCTATGAAGGCAACAAAAACAGACATCAGCATTCTGAATTCTCGCATCTGGGCATCACAACCAGCTGCAGTTGGCATCCAACTTCAGCTGATGAGCCCTCTAACCCTTTGAGTGCTTATGGGGACGAGGCTGGGAAATCTGAAGGAGCTGGAATAAATGACTCACTACTGTGTGCTTCAGAATTAAACACGAGTTCTGTTGCGAAGAAACCGTCTGCATTTAAGGCAACAGCTGCAGAAGCAGAGCTTGACATGCTTCTTGATTCAGTCACTGAGATTGAAATTTTTGAATCCACTAATGCAATTGATCAGTCTAGTCCTTCTTGCTCCGTGGCACAAGCAGGAACATCAACTCCGTTATCAGAAGGGACTTCATCTAGGTCGGAGGACTCCAGCCAGCCCAAGAGAGACCATGATTTGGCTAAACCTGCAATATCAGATCTCAGTCTGGATGGTTCACTGGATGACCTTCTCAGAGAAACATCCACTGTAACTAACAAAAACGATGGTTTGCCATCTAATGAGGTAAACTCCACTGCTGATCATACACCCTCTGCTTCTCAACCGGTCTCCAAGTCTAAAATTATGGCTGATTTTGATTCATGGTTTGACACATTGTAAGTTGTAACTGAACCTCATCCTTTGGGAAATTTTGCCGTGTACTCAAATCACAGCACAAAATGTCAAATTCTGATTTTCAGCACTTCTACAACTCGTATTAAAAGTCCAATTTGGTCAACTGAAGCTGCGATACCAAAGTAAATTATTGGTTTGGGTGTTAATATGTTGAGACCGCTTCCACATATATAGCAGCACCTAACTAATAATTTGATTTTCTAAAAGTTAATGGATAAAGATGATCCTAAAGGTTGAGACCACTTCCACATATATGTAGTCAAATTGTGGAATCCATGGCGATTTCCTTTTTCTTTTTCTTGTTTGAAATATGCACCAGACTTTTCTGCTCTTTCCTTTTTCTTTTTCTTGTTTGAGAATGAAAAACCAGAGTGTGAAGAAATGTTTTGAATTAAGCACCACCTTATGTTTACCCACTTGATCCTTTCTAATTTAACCCTGTATGTAGAAAGTGGAGTGGTCTACAACAGTGATGATCTTAAACAATTGCCAATTTCTGCTGCCAATCATCAATATATTCCAATTCCAATTAGTTGTAATAAACTATAAGAATCATCAGTAATTATTTTGTTTGACCCGGTTTCATCGCATTCCATTATCAAAAAATTTGAAAATAATCAATTGGAATGAAAAGAGCCAATTACAATGAGATCGGATGTGTTTTGTACGACGAAGTATTTTTCTCGAGAATATTTTAATGGGGAAGTTATTTTATAGTGTCTGGTATAGCCGAAGTCAGTTTTTGAGGAAAACATTTCCACTTGTCTTAGAGGAAAGACAATATTTGTTACTCAAAAATATTTTGTAATTTACTTTCCAATTTACTAAAGAGAGTGTGTATATATATATATATATATATATATATATATATATATATATATTTCCCATTCACCAATCAAGCATGAAAAGCAGTTTTCACTCTATATGGCTTCGTCATGCCAAACAAACTATTCGTTGCAACCTTTGAATTTTGAAGATAGAGATGGAAGATTTGGTGAGATCAAAGTAAGGGTCATTCTCCCCAATTATCTTATGTTTGTTAGGTTTTCTTTTCTTTCCCTTTGTTTTATTTTATAGTTTGGCAGACGGCGTTGTGGAAAAACGTAATACATGTAGTGGTTTAATAGCCTGTTTGGCAAAACATTTTTTTTTAGGGGGGCCAAAAGTGATTTTTTGGGCCCAAAGTGCTTTCTGCCAAAAATTGAGGTATTTGACCAAGCCTTTAAATGAAAAAAAATATTTTTAAGGAGAAGCAGAAGTAGTTTTTGAGAAAGCAAAAAAAAAGTACTCCTAGCTTTTCTCCGAAAGCAGTTTTTTGAGAAATACTTTTGAGAAAAGTAATTCTCAAAATAAGATAAGCTGATTTTAGAAATTTGGCGAAACAGGCTATATGAGTGGGGACCCGAAAAAGAAGCACTATTCATTAGTCAACAACTCAAACAAATACAAGTAATTAGGAAATTTTAGATCAAATAATATAACCTGCAACCACCATTCTCTTGGCTTTTTTCTCAGTAACCACTAGCCAAATTATAATTTCCAAAAGATCCAAATCTCAGTATCACAGGTTCACAGTTTAGAAGCCATTACTAACCAACTGAATTTTTATATGCAACCTGCAATTTTATTAAGTAAAAAGCACAGCACCAATCAAGGCGAAGGCTTAAACACAAATCCAGCTATCTATATTAGCAGCGCCCCAATTTTCCCTTAACTAATCTAACCCCAAATTTTATAATTGAAATTATCCGTAATTAATTTATACAACAACAACTACGCCTTAGCTTGATCCCGAGGATTTATCTCTCTATTTAAGCTACCATAATTAATTTGTACTCCGTTCAACATTCCACATCTGCCAAGTTTGATTTATTTGGCAACGGCCAAAAAGGAAAAATAAAAAGAAAAAAGAATTTAACTTCAACAATTAGTCGAAATTACTAGTAGCAGAAAACAAAATAGGAAAGAAAATCAAAGCCACAAAGCTCCAGCTTGTTTCAATACAGGAGTCAACTCGCCAGTAATATGAGCTGCCATAATCCGATCTAACCCTCCAAACAATTCTCCTCCGACAAACACCGCCGGAAACTGCAAACGACCACCCTCTTTCCGATCATCACTGCCGTCGACAATATTCTCCAGCTCAGCAATAACCTCATTTTCATCTTGTTCCTCAATGTCATAAATAGCAGGATTGGCTCCTAAACACTGCAACAAACGTTTGACAACATGGCTCATACAACAACCTCGTCGACCAACAACTATAACAGCGTTGTCTTTAACCATATTCTTCAATTCCTCTTTTGAACCTTTAACATACATAGAAGTACTACTGCTGCTGCTGCTGCTGGTACTATGATTCATTTTGGGATCTTTTAAAGTTAAAGGTAAACATGATGATTTGTAAGGAAGTGCTTGTTGCATGGTAAAAAAGAGAAGTAGAAGAAGAAAGAGAGATTGTAGCTATGATTTTCTCTAGTTTTTTTCTTGCTGTGTAGCTTAGAAATTGTACATAGAGATATATAAGATTATATGTAGTGTAAGATGTATACATATCTTGGATGTGTATATATATACACGAGAGGTTGTAGGTAGGGGGGGTGGGGCTAATAAGGTGGTGGGTGTCAACGGCAGTTACGATATATTACGCGTAACATAAGGTTGTGGCTTACGTTAAAATATGTCATCACTTGCCTATGCTGTGTATCTAATTAAGTGTGGGTACCATTTGCTTACATTATCCTTAGGCAATCCTGATTATAGAGGTCGGTTTTATATATATATATATATATATTCTGTATCGGGTGCAAAATTGATGAAAATTATATATGGATATAGTAAAAACTCAAGGAAATATTACCGGTTTAACTTCTATGAACTAAAAATATAAAAGAATCTCATAATAAATAAAATTAATCACCTGTAAAATAAAACTGGCAACCCGTTACAATAGGTTTGGATTATACTGATTGTATAATAGTTCGTTACACCATCAATTTATAAAAGATTTATGTCATTCATAAATGAGAAATTATAATTAGTGCCACTATCTCTATAGGGATTGACTAAAATTTGCAATAATCTATCTAAGTTAGGTCATATTCTCATGGACAAAGGTAATTACTAAGTTAGGTCATTTACTGATTTACGCTTTAATTTACCCATTCAAATTCAAATGTGATTACCCCATCTGTTATCTATCTTTAGATAAGGATGATTTATTATGGAGACAATAATCTACTATAATCAGTTAAACTATGAATTAAAAAAATAAATAAGTGTATTATATTTGAATGTTAGTATAGAGTAATGCATTTAATTTTTTCCCCATAATTTGAATATTGATTTCTTAATTTCTTAATAGTATTATATTTTTTCAAATAACATAAAAATATTAAGACTTTATTACTCAGTTATAAATAGGTAGAGAATGTTTATGATACAATAGTCAACATTGTTAAAAAGTTGGTTGGATAGCTTAAAGAAAGATGATATCAGGCTCGAAAAAATATACAATAAGTAGGAATAAAAAATTGGAAACAAATCATGCATTTAACTGTTTATTAGTTCTACAAAGCATTATGTTGCATCATTCCTTGATGTCAGTTATTTCGTTTTTATATCTTTATTGGCTTGTTTTGTTGTAGATTCCAGTTTGTAACACTTCTCTAATTTTGGCTTTCCCCTTATCTCTCTTTGTGAAAAAACTATTCGTATTTGATTGAACATATTTAAGAAAAAAAAATTATTTAAATTATATAGTCTTAAAATTACCATAAATTTAACGTGTTTATAGAGTATCTCATTAGGGATAGAATAAGAAATTTAAGGCTAAATAATTTCTAACAAGAAAGTAAGATATTTTTTCGGTACCAAAAAAATACACATAAATTGAGATATAAGAGTAATCTTTGAATTAGTCTTCCGATTATCCGATAAGCAAGAGGTATAAGCTAAAATTAATTCTTGGTTGGCCGTCTTCCTTTTTACTTGGTAACAAAAATAAATTTTAGTAATGTGGAACTCAAGTAATGTGCTTTTAATTTTTTTTTAGTAGAAGACCTTGCAGTTTTTTGTAAAAATTATTTCTCGACAAACACTAAGAATTAATATTATTTTGCTTTTTAAGAAAAGATAAAATCTGCCTTTAGATAGTTTTCCAGTTTTTACGAAAATTGATGTTTGATTGAAAGACGGTTTTGCAAACAAATCTTATCTGAAATCTGTGCAGTTTCTTTTATCGTCATAATAATGTTTGTAGAGAAACTTTAGATTATACATAGGTCGTGATCACTGGCGAAACTAGAAAATTTAATAACGGTGTTCAAATTTTAAATACCCTTTTGCCAGTGGGCTATGCAAGGGTGTTCAAAATCTATTTTTAATCAATTACAAGTAATATTTTACTTTATAGTAGTATAATTTTTTGGCGAAGACGTAGTATAATTTTTTGGCGAAGGGTGGTCACAACATAGCTTCGCCCCTGATCGTAATGGGATGAATACGATCTCTCCTACCTTAATCAGAAATTTCATATTGAATTTTCGGAATGAAAAAATTCTGATTTGAAGAATCTCTTTCATAAAATTCTAATATAAATATCAAACACTAATCAAGAAGAGACTTTAGAGTGTTGATAGGTCTTCGTCAATTGGGCTATGATGATTTTGTGCGAAACAAGGAATATCGATTCTACTCTTTTGAGCCTTTGACTCTATGAAAAAAGAATTTCGCAATAATTTTCTCACTAAAGGAATTTCAAAGGAAAAAAAACAATGTGTAGACATTAGAAGCACATGGAGCGTGACGTAAACAGGTAGAGAAAAAGGATAATCGATAAGCGGACGGTGCGCAATGAGAACGTCATCTAAACGACACAGTTTATCGGGAAAACATATGTAATAGTCGACGTCAGCACTTATGGGGATGACATAAGCAATAGATAGGATCTAGAGGTGGGATGGATCCCACAACGTGGCATTGACAATGTCGCTCCAAAATAATTTTAAAAAATAATGTGACGTACCACGTAGCTGAAGACGTGGACGTGACCACTAAAACAAATAATGTCCGCCACATAACCCGGACGTCCGTTTGTTCTCTGCTACTATTTCATAATTTTACTTGCTAAATTTAACTGTGATAGATAAAAGTTTTTACCTTTAACTAAAAATCTTTGGTTCGAACTTAATTTTTTTTTTCCTTAGCATCGAGCTAAATTTTTAATCCTTAAGAGTTGAGGCATAATTAATAGAATTCTTTTACGCTTAACTAAAGATAAGAAGTGCTTCCACCTTTGTATTGGTCAAAATCTGACCACAACGGTCGGACTGACCGACGCCCCACTCACGGACTAAAGAAGATGGACACGGAGTGTTCCGTATCCTGCCCTCATGACTTTCGTCGAAGCAGTAAAGGACGACGTCCAGCAAATGACCGATGAACGTGAGACATAGAAGAAGCGTCGGATAAGCCACATAGCCGGAGATCCAGGGCTGTATATATAGGATGGTAAAAATCTCACAGAAGGAGGGGCTTCTTCGAGGGAAATATCTCTCCTATTCTCCATCTGCCTCTTCTCTGTAACCTGGAAATACAGAGAGATTAGTAAAAGGATCTTAAGCGATCGATGTAATCAGTAATAAGTTTTATTCAACTGATTAGTGAGAACATACTAAGAAGTTTCAATGAGATCGTTTATCTTCACTTCTCTTTGTATGTAATTCTTTCTCTAGTTCATTGATCTGGAATTCATTATGAATGACTAAGATTTACCCCTTCATCTTCTTTGATTGATTTGTTCAAAAAGGTTGTAATATCTTTTGATCCAAATAATTTGGCACCGTCTGTGGAGATTTCTTAGTGAAATGTCTTAGTTTCTTCCAGATCAAAGGCGAGGAACCCGATTATCCCTCAAGAAGTCCGCCAAGACAAAGCTTGGAAAGGAAAAGAAAGCTGAATACAGCCATCAAAATGTAGGAACGGCTCCATCACCCATCGAAAGGCCGAGCAAAACGAGTTGCGTTATAAACCTACTTTGATCCGCCAATTCATCGAATGAGGGTAAGAACAGTATCGTTCTAACTTGCGTTCTGCTCTCTGCTCAAGTAGGGACACAAACGCCGCGTGAGCAAGCGAGAAAAGGAGCACCACAATCGAGGAATGAAAAACTACCATGCGGCAACCGGAGCGTCGCCCGCCAATTGTATCCCCGAATCGAAAGACAGGAGTCAGACAAGGAAACCCCAATGAACACATTAAAAAAACGTAAGCGAAATGGTGACGTTTCATACCCTCTAGTATCACGCACTCCGATGTGAACAATACCTAGTTAACTAGGACTCCCCCGAAAGACGCCCGATTCTTTGAAAAACTGGGACTGACGACAGGTTAATATTTCGATAAGTCGAAATAACACCTTCTAGGGCCAAGGGCCTTCACCAGAATAGAAGAAGTTCGACCTCGATCGAACGACGACAGATTAATATTTCGATAAGTTGAAGTAACACCTTCTAAGGCCAAGGGCCTTCGCCATAACAGAAGAAGTTCGACCTCGATCGAACGACGACAGGTTAATATTTCGATAAGTCGAAATAACACCTTCTAAGGCCAAGGGCCTTCGCCAGAACAGAAGAAGTTCGACCTCGATTGAACGACGACAGGTTAACATTTCGATAAGTCAAAATAATACCTTTTTAAGGCCAAGGTCCTTCGCCAGAAAAGAAGAAGTTCGACCTCGATCGAACGACGACAGGTTGATATTTCGATAAGTCAAAATAACGCCTTCTAAGGCCAAGGGCCTTCGCCAGAGAAGAAATTCGACCTTGATCGAACGACGACAGGTTAATATTTCGATAAGTTGAAATAACACCTTCTAAGGCCAAGGGCCTTCGCCAGAACAGAAGAAGTTCAACCTCGATCGAACGACGACAGGTTAACATTTCGATGAGTCGAAATAACAAAGAAGAAGTTCGACCTCGATCGAACGATGACAGGTTGATATTTCGATAAGTCGAAATAACACCTTCTAAGGCCAAGGGCCTTCGCCAGAAAAGAAGAAGTTCGACCTCGATCGAACAACGACAGGTTAATAATTTCGATAAGTGGAAATAACACCTTCTAAGGCCAAGGGCCTTCGCCAAAAAGAAGAAGTTCGACCCCGATCGAACGCCGTCGAGTTAACATTTCGATAAGTTGAAATAGCACCTTTTTAGGCCAAGGGCCTTCGCCGCAAAAGACAAAGTTCGACCTCGATTGAACGATGACGAGTTGACCCGTCAATAGGGCGAAGTAACACCCTTCAAGGCCCTAAGCCATTGCCAAAGAGAATTCGAAATATCCTTGAGGCCAAGGGCCATTGGAGGGTGCAAAAGATTAGGACTCGCCGTGCGGGAATCTATCTCACGCCATAATCACGAAGAACAAAAAAAGGGGCAAAGTACAAGACAAATAACAGCGAAAGGCTCTCCTTTACACAAAGTCGCCGCGCAAATGGTCGCGGGTTACATAAGGCCCAAGTAAAAAAAAAAGAAAAAAAAGAAAAAAAAAAGAAAAAAAAAAGAAACAACAACAACGACAAGGGAAAAGAAG